CGTAAATATCTTGCAACGCCGACTACAATAGTGCCATGCGAACGCCTGTTCTCACTTTCAGGTGATGTAAACAAGAAGCAGGCAGCATTATTGTCTGAAAATTGTAACCAACCTTGTTTGTCTGAGTGATTTGGCTGGCCAAGAAGTAGAACTGAGTGGACTTGTAGGCTCTGAAGTTTTACACGATTTATTTTTTGAATGCAGTTTTTTGTACCTGTTCCTACATTTGTACGTTCAACTTTCATGATAAAGGTATTGCATTACAGTACTTGTATGAGGAGTTGAAAATTTGTGTTTTTACAGTGCAAATATTTGTAATAAAATGAGCACTGTACACTTTGTAGTCTGTGTAATTGACATTAAAATGTAACAAACATCCAAAAATATTGAAAATGGCATTCTCTTGTTTAACAGCACGATTTAAAAAAAAAAATCGAATCATGCAATTAATCACTTGACAGCTGCTTTGGGGGTGGGGGGAGGGGAGAATGCTCCGCTTATGACATCCATTGGAAAGGGCCTGACCTCTTTTAGGTGCTGGACACCCACTCTCTGAAAATTAAGGGCCCTTTAAGATGTCAAGTTGAGCATCAAAATCACTGGTCACCTCTGAAAAGTGGAAGCTTTGTCCAAAGCTTCCTATCTGAAGCCACTTTCAACTTCTGGTTGTATTAAAACTCCCGCGCTAGACAGCACAATCCTGGGATAACGCTAGCCTCCCATCTCTAACCAATATTTCTCACTTCTTCTCTCCAAAGCTTGGCTACCCCTCCGTGCTCCGGCTGGTATGGCACTCTGACTGGGAGCGATAGCTATGCGGTTATTCCCTATCTGAGTGGACCTAAGCCAGATACCGCCCCGCTGCTCTTCACGTGTAGTGATTTGGAAGCTAACAATCACCAGACCTTATACTCCACGCCGCAGAACTGAAGAGCCCACCAAGATTCGCTTCTCTTGGGGGCAGCTTTTGTGGGAGTCTGATCATTTTCCAAACATCGAACTTCATCTGCACAAACATTCCATTCTCTCTTGCAGCTGTAAACCAGAACCTGGAGACTTAGGCTGCGTGTGGTATGTAAGACTGTTACTCATGGTACCGTGTAGCAAAGGGAAGGTGAAAAATCTCTGGGAGCTCTGAGGGAGGGAGGGGGGGGGGGGTGGGGGAGTCCAGTCTTCTCAAGATGCTCGCTGGCAGCTAGAAGCACCAGAGCTGACTCACTAGACCAACATCAAATGCGTATTTGCACTTTTTATCTGCACGTTCTGAAGGAACACCTCACACTCCGACTTCCCTTTGGAACAGCCTGGGTCTGTTCCATGTTCATCTTTTTAATTGCACATCCATAGATGGGAGAGGTGTGGTCATCCTGCGAAGATGGGCGCGTCGATACGTAGGCCATGCTGCACTCTGCAACCTGATCCGCTCCAAGGACAAATGCGCCCTCTTCAGAGAAACAGTGTGGGATTTACACTAATGAAGAAAGTTACCTAATGTATAATGTGCCATAGTCCCACAAGACAAATGTAGTGTCTCTTTGCTGGGGATGTGGGCTTACTCTAACTCGGTCCTCGCGGCAGCGGACTGATAAAATACTCTTAGCTGGACTGTGGGTTAAAGCAAACCTTCAAGCATGGGTGTTGCGAAGGCCTTTTAAAAGCCTGAGCTCAATGGCTTCTACTAGCACGAAGGGCACTGAACAGTAACCAGCTCTGCTCTTTTAAACAACAAAAAAAAAATGCCCCCTCGAGCGAGCCGCATGAGTGTGGTTACCATTAAGCTTGTAGAGAGAACACGTGGCCATGAGGCATGCTCCTTGCAGGGTGGCTTCTTCAAGCAAACCTAGCAGTCAGTCTGCAGAAGAGTGGCGTGAGCATTTTATTTTGGCCCGAACCCATACATAACACAGCTTCTTTCATACTAGGATCTGTTCACTGCATTCCCTAGTGGAGTCAGTGCTTAATCTGCCTTGGCGAGAATAGCAATTTTATATTTAACCTGACTGAATATAAACTAGAGATCATTCTTAGAACGCGAAACTTCTCTTTGCTTTCATGGCCGCTTTCTCTGACCGAAATCACGAAGCCTGCAGGATGGTACCTGCATGCCACTATTTGGGACTGCCTCAAAACTTCTAGTTCTCCTGTCTCTTCAGACTGTCTGAGGAATAAGTGTCCCATGACATTCCACTGAATGTACTGTAAAAGTAGTGCAATGTGTCCTGAACTGGGGGGGGTCCCCCCGCATTGAAGTATTAGATAAATTTTGGCATCTCATTGCAGGGTGTGCACTGGAGGGTGGGTCTAGTGAGTGAGAAGCATTTAATGGAATGTGTAGTGTTTTTTTAACATCCAGGATTTTATTCTGGCAGGATGTTGGCCTTTAAATCACGTTTTTAACTGTGTCTAAAAGCACCCCATTCAAAATTGGAAAGCGAGACATGGCCGTAAGGATGCACAGGTGTTTGGATTAGGCTCTAAAGTTAGCTCTTAAATACACTGTTGGTTTACATGGATAGTAGCTCCTACAAGGAAAAGCATGCCTCTAGGGCAAAGCTGCTCTGGCCAGGGTAGGGCAGCTGCTATCTCCAGCCTGTAGTAGACTCCCCTGGATCTCTCCACCTTAGCATTCCTTTAGAAGCTTAAACTGGAAACGGTTGGCATACATTGCTGATGAGAGGAGCTGGTCCTGCCGATCAACTGCATGCTCTTTCCAAGGGTGTGCTTTGTTTTTAAACTTGAATTAAGATTTGATGTTAGAGTAAAACTTCACTGAGGAACTGAACAGGACCACATAGTCTGTAGGACCGGGGGGAAGTGTCCCTACTAGACAAGTGGGGATACTGCTGGCATATGGAACATGACTGACGTGACTGTCTAGCCTTTAAAATGCTGATTCCCAGGCTCACAGCTGTGTGTGAGACACACACACACACACACACACACACACACACACACACACACACACACACACACACACA